ATTTGTCGAATATAGAAAAATTTGGTCAAATTCCGGGCTCTCGTACCTTTCTTATTGAAGCAATTATTCCCGATATAACTGTTAAAGGAGACTGCATACAATCAACGAGCGTTAGGTTCTTGGTTTAGGTCTTGACACCGCCATAGAAAAATCACTATCATTCGTACACGTTCTACAACATAAAATTGGCTACAATTCGATAAGTCAAAGCTGTTGAAATCTGCAATTGGCTTGTGAATACGTAATCCGCAATTTTGCATTCATGCAATAATCATCACTGAAGAATTATATATCCGAAGAAAAAATTATCAAGACAAACAAAGCTAGGCGCGATCCGACATCGAGCACGGCACTGAATGGAAATATATATATATATATAGGGCATATATTTGCCCTCTTGTAGCGTTAAGGATGACGACGTAATGCCATGATTATAGTAGAGAATTTAATGAAAATTCGACCACCTCCCGTATGCTTGAGCTTGCCCTCTGAAGTTCATGTGTTATTGCATTGGGATGCACAGAACATCGAACAAAACATTTTGCTTATAAAGGTTCCTTTCATTTGTTGGCAAAGGGTTCCACACCAACTATTATCATTTTCCCATCAACTGTGACCTTATTATTATTATTTTTACAGCCGGTGAAATTGTTTCAAAGGGAAACAAATCAAATATAAATAGCCTATACACTATCTCGTGACATGATTTTTCCATATTCAAATTAGCCCACCGAGTCATCTTACTTTCGAATAAGAGTTAACTTCGTTTATTAGTTAGTCCGTATTATTCGTTCGATATCAGCCCTTAGGCAACACAATAGTTGCCGACAAGGGCGAATAAGCGACTCAAACCGGACGACTTCGAACTATTTACCATAGTCCAATTGGGCTCGGCCGCGATTTCTGCCGCCAGCATGGTCATCACCACATCCAACCTCTGGAAGCTATTGACGTCACCGTTTCCGGTAGCACGATAACCGTCAACGATTAACTGCAGCGCGCTTTACGACCGCGAGCCAAGCCGATCATGTTAAGCGTATTGTAAACGTTGTCCTTTTCCATTTCTCGATGTACGGGCATGAAGCGTTTAACCTTACGACAATCAATTCGTCAGGTAGGGAACGCTATTGATCGGTTCAAGGGGCGTCCATGCAGTTGTGAGCGAATATAACGTGAACGTATACATGCTTTGCGTTCGTGTTTATCCCTAGGGAAGTGTTTGCGTGAGAAATCTGTCTCTGGTTTGAATAGCACTTCAAACGATGAATACACGGCTTGCCTTAGCGTACGATGCTACAAAGAGTTCGGATGCTGTCGTGAACAGCGTTGCAGGTTGCCAAGGCCGTTAAAGGTACACTTTTGCCAAAGGACAAGCCGACAGTGGGTTACTCAATAGAAGAATAGGTGCCTTGCGAATGACGAAATGTTGAAAGATCTCATTAGCTGGCGATTGCAAGTGCTCTGACGTGAATCGAATCAAAAGAATGGAGGCGGATAAGGTGATAGATAGGGCAGGATTAGCGGTCGACAAAAGGTGCTGCCCATTTAACTCTTGCACCTATTGGGGTCAATAATGATATTCCGAGTTCGGTTACTATCGCCGAGGGCTATTTCAAACGATTGGCCTTTTCTAGCGTAGAACGAAGGGGTCACCCCTGATTCAGAATCTGGACCATCTTATTACTATATGACTTTAATTTTAGAAAAGAAACACGTAATCACTGCACCATCACGAGGACAACTTCCTCAGACGGATACACATGCAGTTAGTTCCCTCCTATAATTGAAACGGATAAGTTGACTTAAAGTTAATTAAGAAAAAGACACTTATTCTATCTAGTTTTTTTGGGACTTTTAATCAGTTCGTAATGGCGAAATGGGCGACGATGGCAAAGCATCACTGACTTTTACGTATGGATGTTTGATATCAACGTTCCTCGGTATCATCCGTAAACAGTTCTTTCCTGTAGAGTATCAACGATGAAATGCACAGACATGTAAAAATGTAGTGAGTTGAGGCAATTTGATAGGCACGATACATGACCTAAATATCGTAGTCTTTACACGATCACCTTTTGCTCGATATCGTTTATGGCTGTAGTCATCTAGTACGGATTTAGTTAAAGCACCCATATTGCGTATTCGTTACGTCCTCTACGTTTAATGTTTTTCTATGCATTGTCATTGACTTTAAGAACCGTGAATGTAAAGCTAAGGGTATTACGAAAGGTAGATTCCACATAATTAGTGTCCTTGGCTTGATAAATTAGCTTACAATAAACGCTAGAATTTACTATCTTGCTTTGAATAGTTGCGTATACGTATTTCCCTTCGTAAGCACGTGACGTAGAGGGGACGAATGAAGGGCACGTCGCTAACCGGAGCCTTTTTCCCATTTGTAACAGACGTCTATCTATGCGCCTTATATACATATATATATATATATATATATATGTATGCACAAAATGGCGACAGCATAAGATTCATTATTCGTCCCTGAATGCGAATAGGCCCGTACACACACTTACGTGGCTTTCAGCGTAGCAACTAGGAAATAATTAACACGAGCGCATATCTGGACATTTGCTGTGTAGGTTTCAATTAGTGGCAGATATCGTGCGTTTCCCAAATGGAGAAACGGTATAAAAAATTAAACACAGTCCACGAAAAAACGAAAAATAGAGGACAAATAGATCGACAATGAAAATTCATTTTTGTTGTTATTATTATTATTAAATGAATGTGAACATTTAAGCAGTAAAATAGAAAAGCTTGTAAATGCAATCCAATGGCTCGCTCAGGCTATTTGAGTACAAAACATTACACCGTACACATGCTTGGCCGCGTCTCTTCAGATCACAATAGCATTTAATGGCCGTATTGGTGTATTTTGTTAGTATCATGTAGAATTGGGCTTACTGCGAGCAATTTTCATCAGACTACTTATCGACTGACCTTCTACTATAAAGCTTTGCAGCTGGCTGACAAGGTCAGGGCAAACGATCTTCTAATACGATACCCACAACTATCCTCAAGGTTGGCTATCTCATTACGGCATTATGGCGTTGACTCATTCCATTCTCGTTTCTGAATAGAGATCCTATGTCGGGACGGCGCATGGTCTTGGCAGACTTGACAACGACAACACTGACTATAAAGTGGTTCTTCTTAAATTGCTTCTTCTATCTTTGATTCTGCATGAATCTTCGGGTGCTACTTAGGCTTTTATAAATCGGGGAAAATAAGAAGCCCAATGATGTTAACACAAATTTGATACATTTTAGTAAGAATATGTCCAGTCAGACATAAACGAAAACTCGCCGGATCACCATATCCAAATCTCTGTATGTATAGAAAATGATTCACGCATGTTGCATGCGTCGTTGGCAGGATTTCAAGCGGGTTTCGAACTCGAGCAGAAAGTTGGCCGTCCACTCACTGACTCAGCCAATTCTAATTATAACCCAAGTGTCTATAGAGAATATCTGCATTATCGCTAAAATAAAAATAAAATCATCATACACGAGTCTTATCCACACTTTAGAATAGATCTAGACTGCCGCTAAACCCTGTCTGCAGAATGCGTTTTTCTACCACAATGAACTACTGCGACTGATAGCCTATGGATAGAGCTTTAGTGATTCAAGTCGACATGAACGGATCCGAATCATTTCTCATAGAAGAATATCTTTGTTATCACCAAATCAATATATTAGTTTTTTTTTTTCTTACCATATGTATATAATAGCAGCCTTAGCTGGAACGATCTCGGAATCCTACAATTGTTTTAAGTTTTGGTTAAAAAAAAACCTGTTGCCCCATCTCGCCTCAGACCCAGCGAACGTTGTCGCCCATCTGTTTAATTGGGGTCACAAAAATTTTACAATTAAATTTAAAACATCCATTAATCATATTTGAAATATTCCTTCGTCAATCGGCAAATAACTTCCCAGTAGTAATGTGGGTCAAACGATAACGGTGGGTCCAACACTTGTGTAGGTGTCGTCCAGATACGCTACGTGCGAAGAAGAAAGAAGAGATGTAAGCTACTAAAAAGTTCAAGGGACGTAAGCAGATGCAATAGGCCTTTGCGACGGTCCAGTTGGTAGCTGATATTGTTCCCTTTCAAATGACCGTTAATTTATGCATTAAAAAAATCAATCACATCTGTCAAGAATGGTTTTTCAGCCATTTTGATAAATGTTTGAGCCCTTCAAATGTAAATTTTACTTAGTATCTTCTAGCTTACCTGCAAAATTATATCGGTTTTTAAACATAAAGTTTACCGTCATCGAAGTAAGCTACCGTAAATTAAGAAAAACTAGATCTTCAGCAGATTTTCTATAAATTGCTAAAAATGTAAGCCGTTGATTCCTTATGGCGTTATTACTGTTTAGCCCAACACGAAAATTTTGCATAAAAGCTGACGTTTAATCAAATGATGATGTTGGTTATTAGTGACGCATTGTTTTCCGTTGTGATGAGAATGTTGTCTGGATTTGGATGAACTGGCTCCCTTCTAATACTTAGAATAGATCATTCAACATAAGGTACGGGACATTAAGCTTCTAGCCATTGCGATTAGTTTATAAGTTTCTATATCGGTCGAAGACGGTAAAATCTCTTACGGTGAATCTTATGATAATATTTGTTACTATTAAATTTTCCTTTTTCAAGCATCATTTCTGTGGCATAAAGAAAAGACGCAAAAAAATAAGTGCTTCACCTTTTCATTTTGATAAAATTATGATCTTGCTTCTGGAAAGGAATCGAATACTTTTTTTTGGCACCTTTTTGAGTTGTTTTTCCGTCTGTCAGGCGACTGAGAGTTACCGCGAAGTGGCAGTGACTTGACGTCGCTGCCATAAACTGACAACGTTGTTCAATGCGTGTTTCAAGGATTGCGCGAGCAGAGAACAAACTCGAGAGCTGGTCCCGGTTGTTCCGAACTACGAACTCATTTACCCATATGTCCTAACATCTGTCACCTGTTGTTTCAGATACCGACCGTAAACCGGCTGTATGCACCTGCCAAAAGTAGCTACTTGGAATAACAGTTTTGCACGTGTGACCAGATTGTCATCGAGAAGAAATTCCCTGGGTGAGCGCGGTGGCGGTGATAGTAGCTACCTGACAAAGGGCAAAATTTTCACGTGGTCACAACTCCGACGCGAACAGGCATCGTCAAAGAACAGAAAGAAAAAGACGGGCAAAACGAAACAGAAAGGGAGTCAGAGAAGGGCAAAGATGTAGGAGCGGGCAATGAAAAACAAAAGGCTGATATCCATAAGAGCAAGCTGGCTTCCTCAGATCCCCCTCGGAGGGGTCGTGATCAGGCTGTGGCGGTACCCGAGAGCGTGTAGCATCCATCTGTTGCAATAATGTGGGTTTAACTAAACCCAATCCGTGACAATCCTTCACTTGAGGAACAAGCATAACAAGAAAGGTGGGAAGAAAATATGAGTTAGAATCGCTATTGGATAGCCCTTCTTTGTCGATTGTTATCGTTGTCGTTGATAGTGGCGGTAGGAACGGTAAAAAAAATAACGTTTCCCAATTGCTGAATGCGTTAACACCTATGCTAATAACCGACATGGTTCAACCATTGTGAAGCAAAAAATCATCAGGGATGGAAACTTAAATATAGACTTAATACAGTGTTAATATGATGATTCTGTCACGGAACGCTGGTTCCAGCGTACGGACTACGCCAATATCGCCCGACGAAGGTGCGTATTCGTCATGGTGCTCTGAGAAGGACGTCATAAATAGTTGTTCTGCGTTAGCTTATTAATAGAGTATCGACGAAATCGTTGGCGTTTGCTGAACGGACGCTGTCGGATGGATGGTTTTGTTTACATCCACACATAGAGCGATTGCATAAAATCCAAAATTGAAAATAACTATTTCATTTAATTTACTAAAGAGACAGATTAACGCATAAAATGTTTACTGTTTTTTTTTTTGAAACCTTTCGAGTAAGGCTCGGCGGAACTTCATGTATCTGTCGTATATGCGCACCGAACCAATAGTACGGATCTATTCTTGTCGCGAAGTTCCCTCGACAAGGCTTTCTCTTCCACGCGGGTTGGTGTAATGATAGTTTTAGGCTAATGTTATACGCGGCATAGTGATCAATATGGACTTATTTATATTACTACAGCTTTTACGTTTCGTGGGTAGATAATGCATACGATAAGGTACGTGAAAGTGGAGTTATAGAGACGAGTTTCTAAGCGATGTCTATTGAAGTCGAGAGCTGTTTTTCTGAACGAAAATCTTTTTGGCTTAATTGTATTCTGTTACGTAAAGCAACGATACGCATCTAATATGTTTCTGAAGTATTGTTTTGAAGGCAACTTCCAGTACTGCACGAACTAGGATATACGAACTAGGTTGATAGGTTGGAATCAGCTCATTCGTCGATTATAGATTTTATTGATCAGCCTCCAGCTTCCGGCCTTAGAGCCCCTTCAAGTTCTATTTCTAAGTAAGCCGTGAGGTGCCTCGTAAACACGCAACGTACATCAGTCTCTCCGGCCCAAATTACCAAACTTCGGCGTTGTTGACTTATATTACGTTATTTTTCCGTAGGAGACATCTTTGCCTTCCAAACTAGGTTTAGATAAATCTGATGTCTCATGACCTTTCGTTCACGCTGTGTAGATATTCATTTTCTTGCGAGAACGTTCTCCGAAAAAAAACTTTTTACGCACTGCTTACTGTTAAATAATGAACGAGTTCTTCGTTGTTAAGTATGCACTGCTGTCTCATATGCGATGACCGCTTCACGCCAAACTTACCTACTATAACACACATAGACAAAGATCTTGTCCAGCACATGTACATTTGGGCGCGTGGATGTGTTATTATATATAAATTGAATGTCTCTTTCATTATCTCCCTATGCATTACCGTGCGTGAGCAATTTTGCATAAGAGTCTGTCAAGCAGAAGAGACTAAAAGCGACTCGCGTCTGTCGGCCTAGTCGAAGACGTCTTGCCCAGACAGACTCCTTCCTGAGAATTCATTTGATATAGTCCGCTGAAACGACTTTCAACTCTGCAACTTGCTGCTCCCCACGGCCATGATACTTACCAACCACACCATTCAAGCATTGTATTCTCCCTTTGAGCCACTCCGATCCGCGTTCCTGCCTAAACCAGCAGTGACTTTCCTTCTGCTCCAGCCTATGTATCTGATACCGCTTTCACGGCTCTTCGCTGTTATAAGAGGATTTACGTCAGCGGCGACGCCGTTGCGGATAGTCGCTCGGTAACAGGACATTGATACGTGTATGCGGATGACCGAATCTACAAACAAACTAGAAGATTCAACTATCTTGAACGATTGCGCACACGGCCACGACTCACTGATTCTTTTCTTCAGACATGGTCGGGCAAAGCTGCCACCTCGCGCACTTAACACAGCCGTCGTCATCTTCGTCCTCAATTAACTTAAATTGAAGTTCATTTTAGTCGAGAATATTGGAGCAATTAACCAGTTAATTGCTTAAGAACGTATATCCTCATGGAACTCTCGAATCATAAACCAGCATGGCCAATTTAACGTAGAGCTTGAAGAATAACGAATAGGTAATAAAGTAACAACGACAATTCTATGCGTAACATAGCAGTCTGCGTATACAGGATTTAGGTCCTCCTACATGCGACATACTTGACGGCCCTTATAGACCGTACAGACCTTCGGACCGCAGCGGCATTGTATTCATTTGGCTATACTTGAGTACTTCTAATGCATAGTTTAAAAAACTCTTTACTGGCGCTACTCTACGCGAGGGCTTTCCCCGTGAGAAGTAGAAGGATCCCGGGCGCTCAGTCGGCGCACGGTTTGACGATGCTCGAGTCTTCCCTTGAGGCCACTGAATTCGAGTTGTATTACTTTCTATTCCCTTACAATCCGTCCCTTTCAACCCCCTACCGCCACTAAACGCAGGCGGTCTAACACAAACAGGGTCAGTCTTCTATCTTACTCACGTACGTAATTAGAACGCAAGTACGCGTTCTTCTTGAATGAGTTGGAGCAGAAGAACAAGAGGGAAAAGGCGGAAATCCACGAAGACGGTGGAAAAGAGATCTATCTGTACTTTTGCTTTGCTTTGCTTTTCTTCCGGGTCTGATGACTTATTCGAAAACTAAGCGAAAGTAGAGAGAGAAAGAAAAAGGAAACCTCTGAGGAACTCTCGAAAATACGGCGAGTCAAGGCGTTGACGAGAACCCAAAGTTGAGTTCCAATGATCCTCGCGCGTTCCTGCGTTCGCCGGCGATCTTGCCCGACGGCTACTATAGACGCTGCGATTTGACTGTAGCGGCTTAACAAAGGACATCATCATCGCCACTAGCACGGCTCAACTCAGCCGCTTCGCGCTAGTTCTAACGAAAGAGGGCAGAGGGAAATCAAAGCTGGAGCAACAAAAGCTCAGGAGAGACGACAAAAGCACACTGCGCCATTACGGGTGCAAGCACTTGAGACACAAGGAGAAAAGCAAAAAAAGGCGACGATGATAAGGGGAAACTTCCTTCAGTCGCCATACGGGAGCAGCGCATAGAAAAGGCCAAAAGCACAAAGACACGGCCAGGCGTATAGAATGATCCGGAAACGGAAATAGCGAAGTTATGTCCTCATACATGATATCCAAGAAAGAGAACCGGTGGCGTTTCATGTGTCTGCGCAATGTGCCAATGATGAAATACATTTGGCCCAGTAGAGTTGAGTAAAACTCAACCTTTAGCGGTGTCCCTATACAATATAAGAAAGTTGAAAGATGAAAATTCAGCAAAGAAAGGCTTGCGTTTCTGTTAGCAAACGAGAAGCTGAGAGCTTTATCTCAGCGTTTTCTCTAGCAAGATAGCTTTAACCTATTACAATGGATCGGAGCTGAGTAGTTGGTTTTCAGTTACTGGCTGAGGATCAGACAGTAGTTTTCAGTGCTGATGACTTGCTATCAATAAGGTGTCGATAACGTGTTTTAACTATCGCGGTTTGCCAACAATTGAGGGCCAAGTGTTGCTATAGGGAAATGGTAACGCGGAACTCCCAAATTTTGCAGGGTCAAAATTTGTTGCTATAATAATGATTTTGGATCAGACATCTTCCATAGCTCTGAGCTGGTTGTCAACCAAACGCTACGCAGTACAGTATTGGACAGAAGCATATAGAAGCCTTAGGACAAAATGAAGTAACAGGCTTCACAATAATGAAGCAGTTGAAAAAACGAAACCTATGTATGGTGCCGTCGTTATACGGTTCGCTCAGATATTTCACTTGCCTTCCTCGAAGTGAACTAGCAAAACAAGGCCAAGGAAGACAAGACTGGAGACCTTATGAACTCTAAATCAACAAAGATAGATGGTTCTATATGGCCAAGGCCGTTATAAATTCATGTGCCCAATGCGCCAGTATAAGACATATATACACAACATATACCTGAAACGGCAGAACAATCGTAGGAGGTCCAATAAGAATTAAAAGGTAAGCAATGAAGATGATACATGAGAGTTCTACTTATATTATATTAAAATGGCAATTAGGTATCGTTATTGATGAGTCGCTATCAGTCTGACAGATGGCAGGTCAATTAGCTAAATTACTTGAGTATCAATTATGGGTTAGGCCAAACGTAACGGTATACGCCTAAAACATATGTGTTCAACATAGCTCGTACGAATATTTTATCTACAATCTAATCAATATTCTTGCTGTCTTCAATCATCCCGAACCCCAATCTGTTAGAGTACTGATTAATCAGTAACTGACTAAGCTGCCTTCTCCCAAATCAGATACACTGTTCAATGCTATATCATTGTATAGAATCACTATATATTTCTCAATGATAAAGGAAACAAGAAAATCTTAACTCACTCTATAGCCAAATCTCGTCTATCCAACAGCCATCAAAGAATAGCATTGTTTCATTCTATCTTTCTTGTTTCATATAATCTTTTCCTTTGAAAGTGAACGCGTAGCAAAGCGTTCGGCCGCTCGACGACAAAGGATAGTCATCATTTGATTGGTCCGCCACTTTGTCTCCTGTTTTACGTTTCTATTATATGCGGTGCTCACTTATGGAAGTAACGCTGCTGGGACACTATTGTACGTATAGCTATGTACATACATATCGTACTTATCTTGAGTGTGATACTCAAGACTAGCCATATCTCTGGTTTTCCTTTATCCTGTCTTTTTCTCTTTTACTCCTCTTTTCATCCTCACTGTCATTTTCCTGCTCATCACATTATTGCTTTCCAATTTTCCTCATTTCTGTTTCACTCTTTCAAGGCACAATCCCCCTTCCATTTACCTTCGCTTCACATTTGTCTTATCTAAAAAAGTGTTTTTCAATGCCTCTTGGCCGATTGTCCCTGTCGACACGATGGATGCATGCCGTCCAATATGGTACCTTTTGGACGCATAGCATAACCGAAC